CGGAGAAGCAGTGTGTCGGTGCGTGCCCGGGATCCGAACCCGGGCCGCCAGTAGCAGAGCACGCGCACTTAACCGCTAAGCCACGGGGCCGACCTCTGGTCCCCTTTTTTTAAACAGGCTTGAGTCAGTTTCTGTTCCTTGCAGTTAGGCAGCCCAGATACCTAAATTTTGATCCTTAGCGATTAAGAAGATGGTGATGCCATTAACTGTGATGAGGAAAATGAGGTTTATGGAAGAGAAGACTTTATATTGGATGTACTGAATTTGATTGGTGGTGAGATAGCCATGTGAAAATGTCTAGCAGTAGTTGGAAATGGGGCCTGAAACCCAGGAGAGATTAAAGCTAGAGATGCAGATCTTGCAGCATAAGGCTAATAATTATTGTGATAGAAATGATGAAGGCAGTCCTGGGAGATAGTGCAGAAGAACAAAAGATGAGGACAAAATCTTGGGGGAAATGTATTTTAAAAGTGAGCAAAAGACAGATAAAGAGATGGAAAGTGATAAGAAGAAAACCAGGGTGATGCAAGTTCCATAAATACAAAAGTGACTTGGTACTGGTCACATGGTACACAGGATGAAAATCAAACACAACACTGGATTGGCTAATTGGAGCATGATGATGTTTTGAGAAGGCAGCTGCAGTAATAATAGTGGGAATAGAAGCCAGGTGGATATGGTTTAAGTAGTAGATAAGACATACAGTAGTTCCCCCTTATCTGTGGTGTTGCTTTCTGCAGTTTCAGTTACCCACGGTCAACTGTGGTCCAAAAATATTAAATGGAAAATTCTAGAAATAATTCATAAGTTTTAAATTGTGTGCTTAGTAGCATGCTGAAATCTCTCACTGTCCTACTCCGTCCCTCGAATCATCCCTTTGTCCAGCGTATCCACGTTGTATATGCTACCCACTAGTTAGTCACTTACTAGCTGTCTTGGTTTTCACATCAACTGTCGAGTATTGCAGTGCTTGTGTTCAAGTAACCCTTATTTTACTTCATAGTAGCCCCAAAGCGCAAGAGTAGTGATGCTGGCAATTCAGCTATGCCAAAGAGAAGCCATAAAGTGCTTCCTTTAAGTGACAAGGTGAAAGTTCTTGACTTTATATGGAAAAAAAATTGTATGCTAAGGTTGCTAAGATCTACAGTAACTTTTATTACAGCATATTTTTGTAATTGTTCTATTTTATTATTAGTTATTGTTGTTAATCTCTTACTGTGCCTAATTTATAAATTAAACTTTATCACACGTATGTATGTATAAGGAAAAAAGTATAAACCACTGTATTTCCTGCTTTTTTGCTTTCAAATTTGAAACATTGTAAAATGATGAGCATATGATCTGCAACTCTGACATACGAGGCTGTATTTGAACCAGATCTTAAAGGATGATTGCTAAGAGGAAAATGGAAGGGAGCTTATAACACTTATATGGTTACAGATTTACTCATTACAATTCAGATGTGCAGAGGAAGTGGAGTTTTCCTACAAGAACTTACATGTCCTTCCTCCTGAGTTCCCACCCAGTGGGAAGTCTGGAGAAAATTAACTTTTAGTTCTAGCCAGTTTAAAACCTAGTCTTATATAAAGGGGATATAATTTATAACATCTTAAGGTAATGCTGAAACTTTTGGAAACTTGCCATCTTATTTCTGCCCTTTGTCTTCTCTCTAAAATGGTGTCCAGATATATGGAGGAGGGGGCTTACATGACATAATGGCATCAGGGAAGACAGTGTCTTCATCTCTTCCATTCTCTGGGAATCGTACTGGCCCGTGATGCCACAGGCAACGGCCTGTAAGATGTGTGATCAGGTTTTTTGTAGCCTGGTCAGAGCCCAGTAGTTCTTGACTCAACTCGCCTCACCTTAGTTCTCTTGGGTGTGGAGAACTCGGAGACTTCTACAACTCTGTCTCAAGCAGTCCAGTGTAGGTCAGTTTGCAGCTATAGCACATGTCACCCCACTGCAGGCTTGAGGTAAGCCTACTTACTTCCCATCCACCTACTTCCTATTCAGCTACCTCCTGAGTCTCCCCTTGGGAGAATATAGGAATTTGTGGGTCCCCTCCATAGCACACAGGAACAGACAGTAGCCTGGAAAAGCAAACTGCATTACAAAGGTTTACTTTGATGTGGCAGTGTCCTAGCCTGAGAGGCTATCTGTTTCCAGAATGCTGTAGACTCCTCTACTACCCAGCATATTATGGACTACTACAAAGCAATAAAAGATGAATGGGGCCGGCTCCGTGGCTTAGCGGTTAAGTGCGCGCACTCTGATGCTGGCGGCCTGGGTTCGGATCCCGGGGGCGCCCCGAGGCACCGCTTCTCCGTCCAACATGAGGCCGAGTCCCACGTACAGCAACTAAAAGGATGTGAACCTATGACATACAACTGTCTGCTGGGGCTTTGGGGGGAAAAAAACTGAATAAATAAAATCTTTAAAAAAAAAAAAAAGATGAATGGACTACTGCTATCTTAAACAACATGAATGAATCACACTAATATAATGTTGAGCAAAAAAAGTCAGGTACAAAAAGTATATACTGTATGATTCCATTTATATAAAATTCAAAAACAGGCAAAACTACTCGGGTGTTAGAAGTCAGGACAGTAGTTGTCCGTTGGAAGAGGGTTGGAGGAGCTTCTGGGAAGCTTGTGGCATTTACTGTCTTTTATCTGTCATTTTACTTATTTGGTCATAGTTAACATAGGTTAGCTTTGTGATAATTCATCTAGCCGTGCACTTAAGATTTGTGTACTTTTCTGTATGATTGCTATACTTCCATTTAAAAGTATAAAAACTAATTTGAAGAATGAGAATAAATACTACAGCATTGGTTCTTAAACTTGAATGAGATTAAAGATGACCTAGGTTGTAAAAACGCAGATTCCCCAGGCTGTCCTCAGACATTTTGATTCACTAGGTCTGACTCTAAGAATCTGTATTTTTAACACTTGCCCTAGGTGATTCTGATGCTTCACACTTTAAAAAATGCTGATTTAGCATCTGTGGGTTCACGTGTAAGAAATTTGTCAATTTAAATTCAAGTATGAGTTGATTTGATCTCTAGTTGCTAGGAGTAGCATTTCATCACCAGCTTAATGTTTTCCAGATGTAATGACAGTTGTTTAAAATGTTCATATTTATTCTTATAGCGTGGCTTTATTGAATCTATTGAATTGTGCAGTTTTTCAAATTTGATTAAAAGACAAAAAATTTTATTCATTTCCTGTTGCATTTTTAACAATACAGAGACATTTGATTTTCCTGGGACATAATAGCTTTTTTAGATACAGATATTTAGTTCTAGCTATATTCCTCATGTAATAATGTAAAAGAACTTTGTAAAAAAAAAAAAAAAAACTAGTCTTTATCTGCAGAGGAGAGATCTTAAAATGGAAGGAAAATAATATTTGAAACATGTAGAAAAGAACATTGCCGAGTAAGGCTTGTTAAAACCTAATAACTAAGAGTCAAATCATTAACTAGTAAAACCAGTCAGTGTGTCAGGATACATATAGTCACTTGTAGAATTCTGTGAGCTATACAGTTTTGTCGGTTCCAGTGTAAACATCTGTTGACAGCAAACCTTCAGTAAGTATTTTTTGCATCAATGGAAGGTCATTTTATTTCTAAAATTCCATTACCAGATTGTGGTATTCTTTAATAGAACATATAAACAATATTTATGTAAAAAAAAAACCCTGAAATCCATTTCACGTGTTTTGTTATTAACATGAACTCTTGAGTGTGTATTTTTCAACCAATTCCAGATGTTTTAAGATTTTGTTTTTCAGCACAAACTCAACCTGATAGCAGCCATCTGTTCTGGATGATTCAAATTCATCTCTCTGAAAGCGTTGAGAGTGGATTTGGTAAGGCATTTAGGTCTCTTCTGGCTCAATGACTATAACATTAAGTGAAAATAGTGCCTCATACAGTTTATTTAGATGTTCTTCCCATTTCATGACCACCACCACTGTCCATGCCCACTCTCCCCCACCACCCAGAGTATGGAAAGGTGGGATTAGGTGCTGAATATAAGGAAAGACCTGTTAAACATGAAAAATCATTAAATAGTGAGTAGGGGATATTTATCTTAATTGTTTACTGAAGGAATGGGCAGTGGCAGGTGTGTTTGTTGTGGGTTTTTTTTTTTTTTTTTGCAGTGTTAAATTTTTGGACTAAATCCAGCTGTTATTTGAGGAATTCACAGTACTTTAAGTGAAGGCCAACACTTAGACAGCTGTAAAGTTGACCACCACCTTTATTCCACCATCTCACTCGCAACGTTTAGAGATGAATGCTATTTTCTTTTAGACTATAGAACCTCAGCTTAATTTAAAGTTACCTTTTTAAAACTGTCTACGTATTTTTTTTCCCATTTTGCCTGGCTTGAACAGTAATAAATCATTCAGATCAAGTAGCCTCTTCTGAGTACATATGAATTAATAAATTTGTGAATATAGGTCTGTAATCAAAGGATCATAGTTCAATTGCCCTCTTTATAGGAATCTTAATTTGAAAACAAGATTGGCCACGGACAACTAATTATTTGCCATCAAATCATTAAAATGTTACTGGCATCCCCTAAAAGAGAGAACTATCTTAAAAAGTTCACTGGCAGCACTGACTTGTTTGGAAAGTATATGTTTATATGTGTTTGATTATGTGTATGTTTATATATATTTGTCTGTATTTTTGAAATTGTATCAACACTCATCTGTAATATCTAAATAAGATACATAAAATACTTTACTTTTTCAACCTCTAAACCCCTTGAAATTCCCTGGGAATCTGCCACCTGAAACTTTTTTACCACTTCATGACAACTTTCAGTTAGAATACCTATAATGATAATACCTTTTTCCTTGTATGCTATTTTTACTACTTGATTATTATATTTTCTTTATAGAAAGAAATAAGTTTAGTTCCTTGATTTCTTTCTTTAGGGTTGCAATTTTAGTCTCTGTTTTGTGAAATTTCTTTTAAAAAATTACTCAGTTTTTAACACATCTGACAAAAGTAACTTGTTCTAATTTATGAAAGAAAAATTTAACAGGCAATAAAATATTAATCTCTGTGAAAGTAATAAGATAAATATGTGAAAATTATTTTAGAGCTTGTTTTTCATATATGTTGACCGACTGGTACAAGAGTAAAACCTGCATTAGATGAGTGGCTGCAAGCTTCTCTATCAGTTGGTCTCCAGTAATAATGCTTTTTAAGGCCATTGGAGACTTCTGCAAGATACAGACGTCCATCCACAACAAATGGCTCCACATCTGTATTGTCTGGTTTTAGACGGCCTATTTGAATTAAGTCAGAATATGCCTAGGATTTTTAAGAAAAGAAAAACTATTATTAAGAAAATAGTTTATTCATTTTACAGTGCTTAAACAAATTTCAATATTCAAATTAGCTGTGCTAATTTAGTTTAAAATATTCTGAATAACATTGCTGAATTTTAATATTTTCCAGTTATTGTACATTTTTATTGATTTAATTCCACACAATGAAATTATAATCTTGCAAAACTTATAAATAAGTTTTAATGTATAAGGCACATTTTGTGTTTTATGACTCCCAGAGTTGTTAATTGTCTATATTACCAATTTTGTGGACCAAAGGTCCCATGGTCAAAATTTTCAAGTCCCACAGCAGTTCTTTTTTTTTTTTGAAGCTTTTTCCCCCCACTTTTTATTTATTTATTTTTTTTAAAGATTTTATTTATTTTTATTTTTTCCCCCCAAAGCCCCAGTAGATAGTTGTATGTCATAGCTGCACATCCTTCTAGTTGCTGTATGTGGGACTCGGCCTCAGGATGGACAGAGAAGTGGTGCCTCGATGTGCACCCGGGATCCTAACCCAGGCCACCAGCATTGCAGCGCGCACACTTAACCACCAAGCCACAGGGCCGGCCCATCACAGCAGTTCTTAAATGAAGGAGTAGGGCTGTTGTATATGCCCTTGAAGATCTGGTGGTAGCCAGGGACCCATTTCTCAGAAAAATAAACAATCACAGATTTTGGCATACAACTGTAGGGAGTTCATAAACCCCCTGAAGCTAACCTACAGATTTAGGTTATGAGACAATTCCCATAGTATTAGATGCTAGCCTGGCTGGCCACCTAATTATTTCTTCATTGCAGAATTTTCTTTGGATATCTCTTATGGATCACTGGAATCTATGTAAGGGTGTCATACAAATGTGTTAAACTAAACTGGTTTGTCAATAAGGTTGTGATTATAGAGAAAGGCAGAAATTTAGCCAGTAAAAGATTTAAAGTCTAGTTGCTTTCTGCTTCAACTTGTCACTATTAGTTCCAAACTTAACTTACCTTCTAATGTGTAGAATATGGATATCATGTTTTTCTAAAGTTAAGGGTTTTTATAAAACAACAGTAGTGTACATTTTATTACTCTTTTTAGTGGTGGAATTTTGGTTAGTCCTTTTGCAGATTTTGAGAATTTTAACATCTGATTTTTTCTTCATTCTTTCCAAATGAAAACTATTTGTTACTACACTTTTTATTTTGAAAGTAGTAGCAAGTGCTCAGTGTATTTACATAAGCGACACACCAAATATTTTGGCAGTTTATACTCTCTCTCTCCAAATTCCGTGTCTTGGTTTAATTATTGAGTAGCAGATTAGAGATTGTGCCACATCAATTTAGAATAAATCAACAATTGTGATTTAAAATTTTTTTTAAGTTTGGAGGAATTGGGACTGAAATTCAGTGATCTTTATACTTTTATGAAGTATTTGATATCTTTTGCTGTTTCAACCACAAAACTTTCCAGTAGCTACTTTTTAGGACTTATGTTAAAATGTATCCAAACTGCACTGTCTCACTATTTGTAATCATTTCTAAGGCAGCTAGCTGTAAATGTCTGATGTCAGAGAAGACCCCAGAAAAAGCCTTCAGTGAAGAAAACAACTTACCACACACGTAGCCTCATCAAATTTGTTTCCCCAAATGTAGATGTTAGAGAGAGTGGGATTTGTTTTCATTGATTGTGAAAGTGCAACAAGTCCTCCTCCCTCTATGTTGTTGCTGACCACTGACAGCCTGCAGGAAAGAAAGAAGTAATGACCCTGGAGACTAACAGTTCCGCCAAGAATGCATGAGTTAGCAACAGCATTTATTACAAACGTTTTACTGTGTAAAGTCTTAGCATTAAATATGTTTAATATAGTAGTCAAAATATTGACCATATAATTCCTAAAATCCAAGAAACTTAGTTTTCTAACTCGATGCTTAATGTACCCAGTAAAGCTACCTACATTTTGGAAATTGACAGTCTGTTGTTTTATATTATTCAGTATATGTTTGGGTGGATTACAGATATATTTTTCAGGATAAAGTAATCCAAATAATATTTTCTTCTTTGATTCATTCTTATTTTTAAGTCTTGATCATATTGAATGATTATGATTTTTCTGTTAGAATTCAGGATAAATAATATAAGCAATAAGAATTTTCTCATTAATCTTAAGCAATCATAATTAGAATCAATCTAAATTTTAAAAGACAGTTTTGAAAAATAGAAATTGAAATGTTTACTGTAACTTAATGTCAGTTTAGAAACTAAGTTTTGATTCTTCATCATGAATCTTAAGAGTTAAGGGGTTTGAGGTTAGTATTCTAAAAATTTGAGTTTTTCTGTTATTTTGATTAAATACAAAACCATACTAACGCTTTAAGACTCCTGTTGTGTGAAGCAAGAGTTTCACTGAGATAGTTTGCTCCTGCATCTTCTATTCTGTTAAAAGAAAGATCTATTACTTGCAGGGTAGTATTGCTTTTCAGTACATCAGCCAAATACACCATTCCATCACGAGTTATTTTATTGCTGGGAAAGGAAAAATATGTATATTTGAAAATAGGAAGTATTGTTCTTTTATTCATAGAGATAACATGCTTGAAAACTGTTATAGAGTAATAAACGGTACTTTCTAATTTAATATTTAATCACTCAATTTCCAAAAATGTTAATGAAAATTTGCCATAAAATATTGTTTCCATTCTGGTTTAAGTCATGCTTCGCTTAACAACAGGGATATGTTCTGAGAACTGTGTCGTTAGGTGATTTCCTTGTTGTGCGAACATCATAGAGTGTACTTACGCAAATCTAGATGGTAGAGCCTACTACACACCTAGGCTATATGGTACTAATCTTATGGGACCACCGTCATATATGCAGTCTGTTGTTGACCAAAACATCGTTATGCGGTTCATGACTTACATAATTAAACTGTGCACTCAAGTTATTAGGAGATATAATATCAGTATAAACTAAATAAAGAATAAGGCTTAGGATAAAAAGTTCACAACAATGGTTGCATTTTATAATCTTTGGACTTACTGTCTAACAAATTATCCTATGTACTATGAATATTTACATAGATTATTCCCACAACTTAACTTCTGAATTACTTAATCTATAAATTATCACTTACCAGCTGACATCAAGGTAGCGTAGGCTCCTGTTCAGATACAGTGCATCACATAACTGTTTAATACCACAATTTTTTATATGATGCTTACACATGTGTAGTTCAACAAGGCAGTGATTTTCCTTCAACATGCGGCCTATGTGAACTGTGGACTCTTCCTAAAAATAGATAAAATCTTTTTTCTAAAATATAATTTTGAAGCTGTATCTGTTTATTCCAAACATATGCTGTTACTTAAATTAGCTTTTTAAAAAGATTATATCAGTTAAGACTGTTAGTCTACAATTTGCATTTGTTTGGCCTGGCTTTTAAAAATATTTTTGCCACAAATGTCGTCTTCACCATCTTAGAAACAGGCAGCAGGAACTTGTAAAATGCAGTGACTAAGTGATGTAAAAGAGGCTGGTTAAAAAACAATAATCGTTTTTTAAAAAATCATTCCGGAAGGAAAAAAATCAGACAATTGGTCCTGTGATTTACTGAGCATATAAGCTCCCTTTTGCTGTTCTCTCAAGAGTCTAAACCTTTCTTGCACCCTCCATATGTTCCTGACTTTGCTCTTGATCTCCACTCTTAATAGTTTTTAGACAAAATACAAAGACTTTCCCCATCTCGATTCTGTTTTAAAAATACACTCATTAACCCTGTGATATATCCAATCCCTCCCTTTTATATTCATCCCAAATTTCTAAATATGTTTTACTCTTGTTTTCTGGTCACTGGAAGACTTTTTCTTTTTAATTCCAAAATCTAGCTGCTTCCAGGCAAAAGGTATATAACCTCGATGAGGATTTGAATACCAAGCACTTAAAAGATTTTATTTATTTATTTTTTCCCCAAAGCCCCAGTAGATAGTTGTATGTCATAGTTGCACATCCTTCTAGTTGCTGTATGTGGGACGCGGCCTCAGCATGGCTGGAGAAGCGGCACGGCGGTGCGCGCCCGGGATCCGAACCCAGGCCCGCCAGCAGTGGAGTGCGAGCACTTAACCGCTAAGCCATGGGGCCAGCCCCCAAGCACTTTAAATTTTTAACAAAATCAAAGCATGTCTTAAAATGAGTGGGCCAAAGTATTTTATGGAACGAGAAGTCCCCTTGTGTGAATGCTGTATTTGTAATAAGTTTTATAGTCACTGGAAATGCTGATCACTAACACAGATAACTATATATGCTCTAATTATGTAAAAGTACTTGGAGAAAAACCTTAAAAGTTAAATGAAGCCACATAGTAATAGCAGATAGTATATGATCTTTATAATAAAACTGTCCAAATGCTGGCTTTACCTTTTACTAGTTTTATGAATGGGCAAATTATTTCATCTAGCTGAGTCTCAGTTTCGTTTTCTATAAAATAGGTGAAATTATATTTCCCTCACAGAATCAGTTAACAAAAAGTACCTGGCACAAAATAAGTGTTCTATAGAAAACTGCAAAGCATTTACTGTTGTTTAGTATTCTATAATCCTGTATCTGATCTGTTTAAATTATTGCTTTGACACTGAAAAGATATACCCAAAGAAGCTGTAGTTTGGGATCTTAACAAATGCAAACTGACCAATTAGGGGGTCCAGTATTGCTCTGCATGGTGCCTGGAACAGAGAACATACTCAATGGATATTCATGTTTTATGCCTTGGTTGCATTTTTAGGTGAAGAAGCTTGAAAGAGGGACCACCCTTATTAAGGGAGGGAACTAGTATCAGAAACGGTAAAGGGTTTTAGCTCCATTCACGGAGTTTGTGACTTAATTTGCCTAGGGTGGCACCTGGCATTGGTATTTTTCCAAGCTCCCTAAATAATGAACAGTAAAACCCTTAAGTGGAATAGGTGTGCAGGCTTATATTTGGGAACAGCAAAGTATGAAGAAACACAAGAGGATTTTACTCCACAGCCATTTAAGAGGAGAATAGTACTCAGGGATAGAGAGGGTTGTGGCTGCCTTGGAAAGGAATAGAAGCCGCTCGAATTTAGCTGACTGCCCAGAAGCACCAGGCAGACACAAGGGCCTAGGCCTGAGAAAGGGCCCTGGGCTTAAATTTAATAACTACTCTCAGATGGATTTGGGAATAATGACACCACTCAATGTACTTACAAGAGGAATTGTGCTTCTAATGTGATTTCATATAGTTTAACATATTTTCTCAGGGCTTTAACCAGAAAATTTTGATTTAGCCTTCACATCTCCTGTCATGTCCTCAATCTGAGAACCTTCCCTGCCACCTCTTGTCCCCATGTTGATTTTTTTGTGTGTGTGTGAGGAAGATCAGCCCTGAGCTAACATCCATGCCAATCCCCCTCTTTTTGCTGAGGAAGATTGGCCCTGAGCTAACATCTGTGCCCATCTTCCTCCACTTTTTTTTTATGTGGGACGCCGCTACAGCATGGCCTGACAGGTGGTACGTCAGTGCGCGCCCAGGATCCGAACCCCGGGCTGCCAGTAGCAGAGCACATGCACTTAACCACTACGCCATGGGGCCGGGCCCCCATGGTGATTTTGATGTCCTTCCTCATGCTCCCAAAGGCACCCTGAGCATATCACTCTCTAGACTTGTCGGTCTCCCTCCATGTGGACTGAAAGCTCCTCAAAGACAAGGGCCATGGGCTTTATTTGACTTATCTCTAGCACCCAGCACTGTGTCTGCTTTAGGGCTGCATTCAAATATTTACGGAGTGAAGGAAGCACTTCACGAGATGCTTACTTTGAGCCAGGTATTTTGCTGATCTTTAAGTAGGGTTCTTGTATTTGAGGATTCTGGGTGTCTTGTTGAGCAGTAGATATATGTACATGAAGCAATTAACATGATGTAAAATTCCAAAAATTGTGGTACAGAAAAGTGCAAAAGTAATTCAAAGGAGAGATCCACACAGGCAAAGAATGCAAAATACACTTATGAATGTGAAAAATACTTTAAAAATATGGCTAATTCTAAATTACTCATATTAAAGGGGAACAGTGAGGTAGATAATTTAAAGACTAGATAAAGTGCTGTGAACATTTTCTTTTACTAGATATTCTCTGGTTTTGTTTAGATCAATAATAAAATGAATTCCTATTCTCTAGCTTTTTATAACTGATAAGAGAGGAAAGCCACCTACAAGAATGTTAAGGAGCAAGGAGAAGCCTTCTTCAAAGTAGGAACCATGTTTTTCCTCATCTTTCTGTCTCCAGCATGCAGCCCTACCTATCGGATCAAGCCCAGACTTCCCAGACTGCTCATCACACACATTTGCCATTGTTACTCACGATTTCAAAGATGTAATGGTTCAGTCACATCAGTATAACAAACAATAAAACAGTTCACACTGAGCTCTTATAATCTAGTCTTGAAAACTTTAATCACTGATACTTTCATCTTAACTACTTTGCCCCTCACAGGTTTACTCACTGAGAATTTGAGTTAATGAGAAAAAAAGATGACATGTTTCCTGCTTAAGCAAGCAACATCTAAAATCATACTTAGTTAGAAAACTCTTATCAAGAATTAATAATTTTATTTTAAATAAAAGTTTTTCTTCGTAAACAGTAGTTTACAATTCTAAAAATACAAGGCTTTCATGAACCTTCAGTAAGTAGTACCTTGGTTTTCTTCACATGTAATAATATCAATTGCCATCACTTTGAATACATACCTGTTCACCATATAGTATAGGTCGGTTTAGGTTTATTCCCTTAATTGTTTGGTTCTGAGTTAGGACTGTAGCAAATGCTATCACACTCTGCATTCCCTAAAAACAGGTAAATTCATTAAGGAAACTGACAAAGTATATAAATTAATCTCCCTAAATATTTCAAGATCAGTTATCTGGATTGTTATAAATTATGTTTGTAAAAAGTTTAAGCATTTCCTGCTCCTTAAATTGTAGGTTGATCAAATTCAGAAATGAATTGTTACTGTGTTCTTTTCTCCCTGCCCTAAAATCTATCTACAACATGCAAGGGGAGTTTCTTCAAGTCTCAGTATTCATCTCCTAGTGTGTTTGCCTCTAGGTTTGCTCCTCGAGGTTCTGTATGATGCAGACCTCAGACACACAGACACACATGTGGATCCCAGCTAGGGCTCTATGCTGCTTAGAACACATATGCTTGTACCAGCATTCCTTTATATTCATACTCGTACTTTAAGTGAGTGGGTGGCAGGACAGGAGAGGGTTACTAACCACATTTTTCAAAGCTCCCTCTCTACATTATTGGAAGGGCCTAATCCTCCCCCATCTCTGTGATGGGCACCACCACACACACCCGGCTGTTATGCCAGAAACCCTGGGCCTCCTCTCACTCCGCCACTCCTCATACCCTCCCACCCAGTGCATCAGTAAGTCTTACAGATTCTTCTTCCAAAAGATGTCTCAAATTAGTCCATCTCTATGGCCACCACCCCATCCCCAGTCCTCATGGCCCACCTGGACTGCTGCAGTAACTTCCTAAGTGGTCAGGGGCTTCCTCTTGCCACCCTCTAATTCCCAGAGAATTAGAGAAACCAGAGTAATCTTTTGAAAGTACCCGTCAGATCATGTCACCCCTCAACTTAAAGCCCTTCCATGATTTGCATTTATAATACAATCCCTTCTTCTTCCTGTGGCCCATCACCCACGACCCACAACCACAACCACAACCCACACAAACTTGCTGGATCTCTGCGAACTTCTCCACCTTCACTTTGAGGCACTCTTTTAACTTCCTTTGCCCCGCCACTCTGGCTTTTCAGTTCTTAAAACCTGCCAGACTCAATTTCATTCTTCATGTACTTCCCTCACGATTTTTTGCCATCTCTGAATATCAGTTTTACTATTTACCTAATAGTTTTCCATTAAATCAACTCACTTTTTCATTTATACTTTAAAACTCGGTATCACTACCATAAATGGAAAACCATAATCCCTTAAAATAAATAGAAAGCATCTGTAAAAATAAATACATGAGTATTAAAATTACCTCCTGTGTATCAGTACTGCTACGCAGACCACACTTGGGGAAGCACTATCTTAGAGTCTGTGTGTGCTGGACCCCCTGCCTGGGATGTTCTGCCATGGACCCTCTCCAAGGCAGTTTTTCCTCATCCTTCAGGACTCCTACATATTACCTCCTCAGGTCTTACGCAACCATCCTATTGTGCAGATTACCCACTCCCTATTATCAGAGTACTTGGCCATCTTTGTAGCACTTTTCTCTGCTTGTTTATTGGTATTTTCTCAACTAAAATATAAGCTTTATAAGAGACCATATCTGATGCATTCTTATATCTTTAGAATCTAGGATTGTGACTTGGTATGAGTAGGCAATATATATTGAATTATACATATTGCTTTCCCAGAACCGCACTGGCTGCATCTACCACCTTTTTAAGCTTCAGAACCTATTACCCCAGAGAACTTCCTGGGCCATCTTATTGTTTGTGTGTCCCCATGATTTTGCATTAATCTGAGGCTGTACAACAGGTTCCCAACAGTAGGCCTCAAGGTTTGAAAGCATGTTGGAGAAAATGAAGCTTGGAATTTGAAGACATGCAAAAAACACACACTTCTCATTATCAGGCCAGATGAAGGCCCAGAGCAGCCTTTGGCATCATCGTTCTAGGTTTTTATGCTACAATATAACTACTCACTACAAAATGTTTTCTAAAGTAAAAAATTATAAAAAGAAAAAAATTATACTAATTAAGTAGTATTTGTTTAATTAAAATGAACATAATCTTTTTCTTAAAAAATCCCATACAGGTTAAGAAGGGTTATGGATGGAAGTTTAGGGAGATTTTTATTATAGTGAGTATTCTTCTGTAGTATTATTTACTACAATCTGATTTTATCAATAGCACTATTATGCCTAGGTTAAAAAAAAAAAAAGCTTTTTCTCCAATATTAGACATTAGGGGCAGGCTCAATCATTCCTAAGACTGTCATTTAGCTGGTCTCCTTAATGATTCTCTATGCTGGTTTCCAGGGAGAATGATCCAATATCTGGGTGATTTTCTCATAACCAATTTACTCACCAGATCACAGTCACCCAGATCTAATTTCTCTAAGGATGAATTAATTTGTAGCATTGCAGCAAACAACATGCCACCTTTATTTTCAATCTTGTTTCCAGTCATTCGTAGGTATTTCAGAATTTTATTCTTCTGAAAAGGAAAAGAATCAAAACTTGGTTAAGTTTTTAACACACAGAGTTCTCTTTAGATTACATGAGTTAGGAGACTATATTACTATTTGCAGACTCATCAATTTTTCATGGAGATAGAACAGAATATATTCCTTAAAGGTAACATTCAGTTTCCCATAATAGATGAAAATCTGGTTTAATAGTTTAGCATAAAGAATGCCCAGAAAACAGATGCCCCAACAATGACCAGTAAATGAAGCAGATTTTAATAAACGTTCATGTCACTGGAAAATCTATAAATTTATCTTCTAAGAAAATTATACCACTTTTTTTATTGAGGTGAAATTCACATAACACAAAATTAACCATTTTAAAGTGTGCAATTCACTGGCTTTTAATACATTCACAATGTTGTGCAGCCATCATCTCTAGCTAGTTCCAAAACATTTTCATCATCCCCAAAGGAGACCCTGTACCCATTAAGCAATCACTCCACATTTCCCCGTTTCACTTTTAGTGATATAATTTCTCAGAGATTGGCGAATTTAATTCCTTCTCTTATTCCAGTCTTTTGATAACTCTTTCACAAAGAAAATTACAGATGTTTCATTGTTCTAATGAATAAATATTAGGACATATAAGTGCAAAAAATTATCTTTAAAATTAATTTCAACCCCCCGTGAGAGCAGGAAGAAGGCAAGGATGTCCATTCTCACCACTTCTATTTAACATTGTATTGGAGGTTCTGAGCCAGGGCAATTAGGCAAGGCAAGAAAAAAAAACAAAGGGCATCTGGATTGGAAAAGAAGTAAAACTATCTCTGTTTGCATATGACATGATCTTATATATGGAAACTCCTAAGGAATCCACCAAAAAAAGCTGTTAGAACTAATAAATGGGTTCAGCAAGACTGCAGGACACAAGATCAGTCTATAAAAATCAATTGTATTTCTATACACTAGCAATGAGCAATACAAAAATGAAATTAAGAAAATTCCATTTACAATAGCATCAAAAAGAGTAAAACATTAGGAATAAATTTAACAAAAGAAGGGCAAGACTTGCACACTAAAAACTACAAAGCATTACTGAAAGAAAGAAGATCTAAATAAATGGAAACACATCCCATGTTCACGGATCAGAAGAATTAATATTGTTAAGATGGCAATACTCTCGAAATTGGTCTAAAGATTTAAAGCAATTCCTCTCAAAATCCCAGCTGCTTTTCTTGCAGAAATCGATAAACTGATTTTTTTTTTTTTGAGGAAGATTGGTCCTGAGCTAACATCTGTTGCCAATCTTCCTTTTTCTTTTTTTTTCCTCCCCAGAGCCCCAGTACATAGTTGTGTATCATAGTTGTAGGGTTGTAGCTCTTCTATGTGGGACGCCACCTCAGCGTGGCTTGATGAGCGGTGAGTAGGTCCGTGCCCAGGATCTGAACCAGCGAACCCTGGGCCACCAAAGCAGAACACGAGAACTTAACCGCTATGTCACCGGGCTGGCCCCAATAAGCTGATCTTTTTAAGTGATTAATTCAGATGGAAATGCAAGGGACCCAGAAAAGCCAACAGGATCTTGAAAAAAGAACAAAGAAGACTCCCACTTCTCAAGTTCAAACCTACTATGAAACAACAGTAATCAAGATAGTGTGGGACTGGCATAAGGACAGACATATAGATTAATAGACTAGAATGAAGAGTACAGAAATAAACCCTCACACTTCTAATCAATTGATTTTCAAAAAGGGTGTGAAGAAAATTTAATGGGGGAAGAATAGTCTTAACAAATGATATCGGGACAACTGGGTATCCACACGCATAAAAATGAAGTTAGACTCCTACCTCGTATCATATGCAAAAATTAACTCAAAATGGATCAAAAAACTGAGAGAGCTAAAATAAAAAACTGTTAGAAGACAATGTAAGTGTAAATCTTAGCGACTTTGGGTTAGGGAAAGCCTTCTTAGATATAACATCAAAAGGACAAACAACAAAAGAAAAAACAGATAAATTGAATTTATCAAAATTAAAAATTTTTTTGCTTCAAAGGACACCGTTAAGGAAGTGAAAAGGCAATCTACAGAATGAGAGAAAATATTTGCAAATCATATATGTGATAAGGGACTTGTATCCAGAATATATAAAGAACTCTTACAACTCAAAAGACAAATAATCCAATTTAAAAATGGGCAAAGGGGGCCCAGCCCAGTGGCATAGAGGTTAAGTTTGCACGCTCTGCTGTGGTGGCCCCGGGTTCACAGGTTCGGATCCCACGTGTAGACCAACATACCCCTCATCAAGCCATGCTGTGGAGGCATCCCATATACAAAATAGAGGAAGATGAGCACAGATGTTAGGTCAGGGCCAATCTTCCTTAGCAAAAGAGAGAGGAAGACTGGCAACAGATGTTAGCACATGGCCAAGCTTCCTCACACACAAAAAAATGGGCAAAGCATTTGAATAGACATTTCTCCAAAGATAATATACAAATGGCTAGTAAGCACATGAAAAGATGCTCAACATCATTATTCATTAGGGAAATGCAAATTAAAAGCACAAAACCTCTTCATACCAATAGGATGGCTAAAATCAAAAAGACAATAACAAGCGCTGGTGAGGATGTGGAGAAATTGGATACTCATACGTTGTGGGTAGAACTGTAAAAAGGGGCAGCCCCTTTGGAAAAGTGTGGCAGTTCATCAAAATGTTAAGCAGAGTTACCAAATGACCCAGCAATTCCACTCCTAGGGGTATACCCAAGAAAACTGAAAACACATGAGCACATAAAAATATGTGCAGGGCCGGCCCCATGGCTTAGCGGTTAAGTGCATGCGCTCCGATGCAGGCGGCCCGGGTTCGGATCCCGGGCGCGCACAGACGCACTGCTTCTCCGGCCATGCTGAGGCCGCGTCCCACATACAGCAACTAGAAGAATGTGCAACTATGACATACAACTATCGCCTGGGGCTTTAGGGGAAAAATAAATAAATAAAAAATTTAAAAAAAAAAAATGTGCAAATATTCATAGTAGCATTGTTCATTACAGACAGAAAGTGGAAACCCAAATGTCCATTAACTGATGGATGAACAAAATGTGATATATCCATACAATGGAATATTACTTGGCAATAAAAAGGAATGAAGTATGTTACAACATGGATGAGCATTGAAAGCATTAAGCCAGTCACAAAATGCCACCTGTATGACTCCATTTATATGAAATGTCCAGAATAGGCATCTAGAGACAGAAAGTGGATTAGTGACTGACAGGGGCTGGGGAGTGGGGGAGAAAAGCATGGAGAGGGATTGCTAATGAGTACAAGGCTTCTTTTTGGGATGAAAATGTTCTAAAAACAATGATAGTGGTGATGGTTGCACAACTCTGAATATACTAAAAAACCCACTGCCCTGAACACTTTAAAAGGGTAAATTTTATGTATGTGAATTATATCTTAATGAAGCTGTTTATTTTTAAAAATGATTTCAAAAGTGCTCATGTAATGTCCACATTTTAATAAATTGAAGTGCAATAAAAATGTACATTCCCACTATTAAAATAAGTTACATTATACATTTTACATTTATATACATTAACATTTTATTCTGTTGGTTCCAAGCTATCAGAAACTAAAATTCCCAAATAAAATGTTAGTTTAAGGTATACAAATGCTTACATGTAGTGCTTTAGCAATCAATTCTCCACCTTCAGGACCAATATCATTGAACATAAGGTTTAAGTAAATGAGATTATGTTGTTTCTAAAATAAAGAGAGAAAAGAAGCCTTTACACATGTATTATTGGAAATCAATTGATAATATATAACAGCTGCTTTATTTAAATAAAAGTATTTACCTCCAAAGAAAATCTTTAGAACCCAGAAAATCTGAAAGTCCAGCAAAAGAAACTACCATTAAGGAAAAAATCACCATTCTCATTTAAATATAATTGCAATATAAATGAAAGAAAAAGACTATATTCAGTTTTGACCAATGATTCAAAGTACGGATGTGCTTTATGTACTTATAACCATCATGTACAAGAAGTTCGCAAAAGATGACCCAGGACGTGTAGGTACCAGCTCTACTAAGACCAAATACATAAACGGGTTTTCAGTGTATTTCAAGTGTTATAAATACAGCCCAGGTCAGGACCATAGACAGGTTGCAAAACGAGTGTTTTCTGTGTGTGCCATTAGACTAGGTGGCTTCACAGTAAACAGAACTAAGAACGTTTTGATACCGACGATTTTTGCAGCATTTTTATTTGTGATTGCTGAGAATAACTTGGTTATTTCATTTTTTTTATATCTTCACTCTGTCCTTACACTGTGTGCCACTTTTATGGATATGAGAATTTTAAGATCATTTTAAGCTCATTAGAAGCACTTTTTTTTTTTTTTAAAGATTTTATTTATTTATTTTTTTCCCCTTAAAGCCCCAGGAGGTAGTTGTATGTCATAGCTGCACATCCTTCTAGTTGCTGTATGTGGGACGCAGCCTCAGCATGGCCGGAGAAGCAGTGCGTCGGTGCGCGCCCGGGATGCGAACCCGAGCCGCCAGCAGCGGAGCGCGCGCACTCAACCGCTAGGCCACGGGGCCGGCCCCCATTAGAAGCACTTTTAGCAGATGAGATTGGGACAGGAAGTTAGGAAATTAAAAAGCCAATTTAAGGGAAGAATCAGAAAAATGATATATGCTGCTTTAATCATGTTAACTGAAAATACAGACACTTGTCAATCTTCTGAGGTTGAAACAAGGCCTTTTCTTTAAATACACCTACTCTGATTGGCAGACCACACTGTCTTTGTTAAATGAAATGCAACCATAATACAGCATTTCAACTTGGGTGTCTCCAAAGTGAAATCTGCAATCAAGGGTTAACTTAGCAAGCTTGGGGTGCTCGCACCCTCCCTGGACGTTCGAAAGAAGAGACTGTTCTTAACTGGCTCCTGGGAGGAAAACAAAAGAGCTAAGAACATTTTGTAGTAATTTAATACCTGAAGCAGTTTTGCAGCATAGTATGCGCCAACGTCAGTTATGCAGTTATATCTAACATCCAAACCTGAAGAACACAGAAGAATAGAAGCTGATACTCCATATGATGAATACTTAACATCAGGAAAATGAAAACAGGAGGTAATGATTCTTAAGGAGACATACCACTAATGTATGGCGTCTTCTTTAAAATTCTGGCAAGAATCCAAAAATCTTCACCTGTTACTCTTTCTACTGGCATTAAGCGACTGTTACCAGCAATGTTTAATGTGATTCCTTCCAATCTGTTAAAATACAAAAAAGAAACCCAGTAAAGAAATAAAAGTATTTTTTCTTAAAGATTTTTTATTTATTTTTTTGCCCCCAAAGCCCCAGTAGATAGTTGTATGTCACAGCTGCACACCCTTCTAGTTGCTGTATGTGGGACTCGGCCTCAGGATGGACAGAGAAGTGGTGCCTCGATGCGCACCCGGGATCCGAACCCGGGCCGCCAGCATCGCAGCGCGCGCACTTAACCACCAAGCCACAGGGCCGGCCCAAAAGTATTTTTTCTTAATGTGTAAAAAGTAACATCATGGATGGCATTTACTGGAACCAAGTATGTACCACAATATAGATTTACACCAAGTAACTTAAAACTACCAAATATTCTAGATTTTGCAAAGCAATTTAATATATGCTGTATAATTTTGCACACACACAATAAAACAAAGTATCCCCACTTTGGTAGACAATGACATTGAAGACGTGAGTGATTTACATAAATAAACCCAGCCCATGGGAGTTAGGGACAAATCTGGAGTCCAGACCTGGAGACTGCTGGTCTAGTGCTCTTCGTGTTACTGCACAAAATCGGGTCCTCTTGCCCGATGTGCACAAAAAAACAATTAATTACAGCATCGGCTTTTGGGGGAGAAGTCAGCTTTATTCTGTGAGATAGATCTGCAGGGGGACAGGGGGCATGTGCCCTCAGATCTGTCTTCCCGATTCAGGATTTGGGGTAAAATTTAAGAAATTACGGAGAACAGGCTGGCAGGACAGGTTTTGATTGGTGGGCTTCTAAACACTTATGATAGGGTTCTAACCATTTACAATGAGGTTCTCAACTTTTATGATAGGGTTCTAACCATTTATGATGAGGTGGGGAAGGAAATTTAACACCAGATCTCCCTGAATGAGGGACCCCTCACTTCTGATAAGAGTCTGACTTTTAAGTTCCAGTCATGTCCTGATCCTTTGTTTCCATGGGGAGGAGAACCTCTGGTTCCGACATCATTAATGTCAGGTCAAGATTTCTTCTTCTGCGCATGCTCTGGCTATGTGACTGCAAACTTTCTGAAAAGCAATTCTTAATCACTCTGCTGATAAGAGACGGGGTCAGTTGAACTGGTCTTGGAAGGCCCGTGGTTACATTCCCAGTGTATTCTACTACCTCCAAGACCTACTAACAGTGTCAGTCATCTACTTCTCTGAAACAAAAAATATGTTTTGTCAAGATTTGCAAATGTAAAATCACTTAGTACTCCAGGATTTTCACACAAATGAATATCAGTGAATATTATGGATGTAATCAAGTATTTGTCTTCCTTACCCCTTTTTAATTTCTTCATCCACTTCTTGGAGTATATGCAATATAAAAGGATTAATTTTCTGGGACTTTTCCATACATAGATTATAATAATCTTCCTGGAGACCATCAACAAGTTCTGGAGCTTTTGAAAAATAAATGCATTACCCTTCATTACATATAAATTATCCCAGGAGCTTTTTTTTCCGGAAAAAAAAATATATAGATATAGATATATTACACTTATTTCAAAGATAGTGTGTGTGTGTATAGAGTTGGGGGTGGGGAAGAAAGGGAAACAGAATGATGAGTAGAGAAAGGAGAGAAATAGAAATAAGGAATGCGAGGGAATAAAAATGCTGTTTGGAGGGGGCCGGCCCAGTGGTGCAAGTGGTTAAGTGCACCCGCTCCACTGCGGCGGCCCGGGGTTCGCTGGTCCGGATCCCGGGCGTGCACTGACACACCACTTGGTAAGCCACTCTGTAGCGGCATCCCATATAAAGTGGAGGAAGATGGGCATGGATGTTAGCCCAGGCCCAGTCTTCCTCAGCAAAAAGAGAGGAGGATTGGCGGATGTTACCACAGGGCTGATGTTCCTCACAAAAAAAAAAAATGCTGTTTGGAGAACTAGGCCATAGAAGCACCACTGAGGGTGGGCAGACACTAACTCGGAAGTGACATAAAGGGAAAACTAACCTCAATTATGTAATAGGCCTGGTTGCTGAGGAAGATGACATCCAGAGAAATTAAATATTTTGTCCAAAATCATGCAGCTAATAAGTGCAGGGTGCAGAATCAAACTGACTCCAAAGCCTCTTTCCACTCTGCCATGCTGGGCTAGGGTGACTCAAGATCTCTTATAATGGCTTCATATAAAGACAATTTTATCAGAGAATCTAAACTCAGTAGGGATCTGAAAAATCACCAAGATCCATAGGCTCCTTGGGTACCCTCTACACCATGCAAGTGGATGGCGTCTTTGAATACAGCTGTTGGTTCTTCCTAACACCAAGTTGAGGTCAGGCTCATAGAAGCTTCACCTACCCTGGCCTTCCATTTACTCTTTTGTACTCTTTTTTTTAGGTTTTATGTTTTATTGTTTTTGGGGGGTTTTTTTGCTGGGAAAGAGTCACCCTGAGCTAACATCTGTTGCCAATCTTCCTCTTTTTTTTTTCTTTCCTTCCCCAAAGCCCCAGTACATAATCGTATATTCTAGTTGTAAGTCCTTCTAGTTCTTCTATGTGAGCCGCCGCCACAGCATGGCTACTGACAGACAAGCAGTGTGGTTCCACGCCCAGGAACAGAACCCAGGCTGCTGAAGCAGAGCACGCTGAACTTGAACCACTAAGCTATCAGGGCTGGCTTCCATTTACTCTTTTTAAAGGTGATTTTTCCCTGTTCAGTCCTTAATAAAGAAGACAGAAACAAAGCAGAAGAGATCTCCTCCTCTGTTATATCTGCAGTTTTCCTTAATGATCTTATGTTTTCAATATTACTTTAAAAGCATCTTTTTCAAGGCACACGCCTTCTGGGGTGGAAGCAACACTCACTTTTCTTAGAAGCACATACCATCGTCTTTGTTTTCAGTCCTACCTTTTGTGTATGTCTCTTTAAATACCTGTGCTCAGAGATCTCACTACTGAAGCAGCCTGGTGTCTTTAGCAGCCAGCCTCTCTAAGTCTCTACATCTCAGAGATGTCCTTTGCTGAGTGGATTATATGAACTAAAGAGTTTGCTAAAAAATTTGCAAACAAGATTAAAGATGAGGAACATTATATTAAAAATGAAAGCAAATAAACTTTTATAGTTTTTTAAAATAAGCTTTTTAAAAATAAATTTAACCCACAATTATTCCAAACAATGTGGGAATTTCAATATCAAAAAGAAAATAAACATGCATCAGCAATCCCATTGCCAAGAACCACGATAATTGAGGTCAGGGTTATTTCCTCCCCATTGTTTTTCCTTTATATGTACATACAAGCATCTTTAAACAAAGCTGGAATATTTCAGTATAGTTCTATATCCTTTTTCTCCAATTAACTTTATATTGTGAGCAGTTTTCCAACATCATTAGATATTCTCTGGAAATTTTTAATGTCAGCATAATTTCTGTCTTGCAGATGGATGTACTCCTTCACTTATTTTAAGAAATTTTCATGTATTTAAATGATATTTTATCACAATATTTCCCAAACTGTGTTCTGTGGAATACTAATCTTCCATGAGATGATCAAAGATGTTCTAAATAGAATGGGCTTTATTGTCACATAAGTTTGAGAAGTGCTGAACTAAACAAAGCTCAACAGATCCCTATCTACAGCACTTCTCAAGACATTTAAACACTCAGGTGCACAAAAACTCTTCAAGTTGTTGAGCCTGGAGGGGAGGGAGGATAAAAATGCTCCATTTCGCAGACTTATGTGACCATGGTTCACATGGACTGCTATCTAGAAATGCTACTTTAGTGTCCTCAACAGGAAAGAAAGCAAGTAGATCTCAAACAGATTTACTTGTTGGAACTGGGCTCCCATTGGGCTTCTTTCCTCCCTCCTGGCTACTACCTCCCTTGGTATTAAAAAGAAGAGCTTAGGATCACCCTGAGAAGCCCTCTGAGATTCAGTGCCTGCCCTCAGCTCGCCTCGCCACACTCAGGACGTGCAGAAATGTGTCAGACTTACAACTCATGTTTTTGTGAAGACATGAAGTAATCTTAGATTACAAGCCAAATATACCCACAGAAAGTTACAAGAATTTTCCTATTTACCTGGTATTGGATTTAAAGTATTTAAAAGTTTCTGCTAAATTTTTCAGCTATTCTCTCTTTCATTTAAAATTCACCTGTCTTAAATTACACCCAAGAGAACTAGAAAAAGAAGAATAAACAAAGCCCAAAGCCAGCAGAAGGAGGGAAATAATAAAAATCAGAGCAGAAATAAATGAAATAGAGACTAAAAAACAGTAGAAAGGATCAATGAAACTAAGAGCTGATTCTTTTGAGAAGATAAACAAAACTGACAAACCCTTAGCCAGAGTCACTAAGAAAAAAAGACAGAAGGCTCAAATAAATAAAATTAGAAATGAAAGAGGAGAAATTACAAGGGATACCACAGAAATAAAAAAGGATTATAAGAGAATACTATGAAAACCAATATGCCAAGAAATTAGATAACCTAGAAGAAATGGATAAATTCTTAGACTCATATAACCTCCCGAAATTGAATCAAGAAGACACAGAGAATCTGAATAGAACAATGAGAAGTAAACAGATTGAAGCAGTAATCAAAAACCTCCCAAAAAACAAAAGTCCAGGACCAGACAGGTTCTCTGGAGAATTCTACCAAACATTCAAAGAAGATTTAATACCTATCCTTCTCAAACTATTCCAAAAAACTGAATAAGACAGAATGCTTCCTAACTCATTCTATAAGGCCAACATCACCCTGATCCCAAAACCAGACAAGGACAACACAAAGAAGGAAAATTACAGGCCAATGTCGCTGATGAACATAGATGCAAAAATCCTCAACAAAATATTGACAAACCTAATACAGCAATACATTAAAAGGATCATACACCATGATCAAGTGGGATTTATACCAGGGATGGTTCAACATCCACAAATCAATCAATGTGATATACCACATTAACAAAATGAAGAATAAAAATCACATGATCTTCTCAATAGATGTAGAGATAGCATTTGACAAGATCCAACATCCATTTATTATAAAAACTCTCAATAAAATGGGTATGGATGGAAAGTACCTCAACATAACAAAGGCCATATATGACAAACCCACAGCCAATATCATACTCAACTGTGAAAAACTGACAGCCATCTCTGAGAACAGGAACAAGACAAGGGTGCCCACTGTCACCACTCCTATTCAACATAGTACGGGAGGTTTTGGCCAGAGCAATCAGGCAAGAAAAAGAAATAAAAGGTATCCAAATTGGAAAGGAAAAAGTGAAACTCTTGACATGATCCTATATATAGGAAATCTTAAAGAATCTAACAGAAAACCACTAGAAATAATCAACAACTACAGCAGTTGCAGGGAGCAAAATCAACTTACAAAAATCAGTTGCATCTCTATACGCTAATAACGAACTAGCAGAAAGATAACTCAAGAATACAATCCTACTTACAATTGCAATAAAAACAATAAAATATCTCGGAATAAATTTAACCAAGGAGGTGAAAGACCTATACACTGAAAACTATAAGACATTATTGAAAGAAATCAAAGATGACATAAAGAAATGGAAAGATATTCCATGCACATGGATTGGAAGAATAAACATAGTTAAGATGTCCACATTACCTAAAGCAATCTACAGATTCAATGCAATCCCAATCAGAATCTCAATGACATTCTTCACAGAAGTAGAACAAAGAATACTAAAATTTACATGGAACAATAAAAGATCCCAAATAGCTAAAGCAATCCCAAGAAAAAGGAACAAAGCTGGAGGCATCACAATCCCTGACTTCAAAATATACTACAAAGCTATAGTAATCAAAATAGCAAGGTACTGGCACAAAAATAGACACACAGATCAATGGAACAGAATTGAAAGCCCAGAAATAAACCCATACATCTCTGGACAGCTAAACTTCGACAAAGGAGCCAAGAACATACAATGGAGAAAGGAAAGTCTCTCCAATAAATAGTGTCGGGGAAACTGGACAGCCATGTGCAAAAAAATGAAAGAAGACCATTATCTTACACCATACACAAAAATTAACTCAAAATGGATTAAAGACTTGAATGTAAGACCTGAAACCATAAAATTCCCAGAAGAAAACATAGGCAGTACATTCTTTGTCATCAGTCTTAGCAGCATCTTTTCGAATACCATGTCTACCGAGGCATGGGAAACAAAAGAAAAAATAAAAATGGACTACATCAGACTAAAGAGCTTCTGCAAGGCAAAGGAACCCATGAACAAAATGAAAAGACAACCCACCAACAGGGAGGAAATATTTACAAATCATATATCCAACAAGGGGTTAATTTCCAAAATATATAAAGAACTCATACAACTCAACAACGAAAAACAAACAACCCGATCAAAAAATGGGCAGAAGATATGAACAGATATTTTTCCAAAGAAGATATACAGATGGCCAACAGGCACATGAAAAGATGTTCAACATCACTAAACATTAGGGAAATGCAAACCAAAACTACAATGAGATGTTGAAACTGCGGATGAAGGAGTTAAAATTTCCCTGGATTAGGGTGAAACAGTGCCTTGTACCCACAAGGTTACCGAGGGAAACAAAATAACCAAAGTCTCTGAGCTTGCCTTGTGTAATAGCAGGAGGACCGCTGATAAGAGAGGAACTTGCTGACAGCCCCCTCCCCCCACTTGACTAAGCATCTTGCAGGAACATTAAGAAGCTAAAAAGACTGATGGTAAACTTTAGACATCAAAGACTAAAAATCCACTGCATGCAACACATAGAACAGATAGTCACGCCTGTGCGGAGGACTCTTAGAACTTCAGCCCCCATGGCCACATGCTCCCCCTCCCCTACCTAAAACCCCAAATAAAAACCCTTGCTTGTAGCTTTTCAGGGCGGTAGGGATCACACCGTTCTCCTTGCTCAGCGCTTTGCAACAAAATTTCTTTCTTCCACTACAGCCAGGTCAGAGACTGGCTTGCTGTGCAATGGCTGCCTGAACTCCCTTCAGGTTTGGTATCAATATCACCTTACGCCTGTTAGAATGGCTATAATTACCAAGACAAAAAGTAACAAATGTTGGAGAAGATGTGGAGAAAAGGGAACCTTCATACACTGCTGGTAGGAATGCAAACTGGTGCAGGCACTGTGGAAAATAGTATGGAGATGTCTCAAAAAATTAAAAATAGAAATACCATATAATCCAGCTATACTACTACTGGGCATTTATCCAAAGAACCTGAAATCAACAATTTGAATGCACCCCTATGTTCATTGCAGCATTGTTCACAATAGTCAAGATGTGGAAGCAACCCAAGTGCCCATCGACTGATAAATGGATAAAGAAGATGTGGTACATATACACAATGTAATGCTACTCAGCCATAAAAAAGACGAAAATCATCCCATTTGCAACAACATGGATGAACCTTGAGGGTATTATGTTAAGTCAAATAAGCCAGACAGAGAAAGACAAACACTGCATGATTTCACTTATATGTGGAAGATAAACACATGGATAAAGAGAACAGATCAGTGGTTACCAGAGCGGAAGGGGGTTCGGAGGTGGGCAAAAGGTGTAAAAGGGCACATACATATGGTGACGAATAAAAATTAGACTATTAGTGGTGAGCACGATGCAGTCGATACAAAAACTGAAACAATAATGTACACCTGAAATCACACAATGTTATAAACCATTATGACCTCAATAAAATAATTGGAAAAATAAATAAAAATAAAATTAACCTAAATATTGTATTTCAGGGTTTTATGGCACCAATAATTTATTTCCTACACTGTATTCATCTTAGGAGAAACATAATAAATCAGTCTTCAAATTGTAAAGCAAAAACTAGGAGTAACCAGTTACACAGGAAAATGTCAAGAATCTAACCCAAATTATAGTTTTCATCCATACCTAAGTCTTGAATTTCAAATAATCTTCACCTAACAGCACGTTTTAAAATTTCTAGAGAAAGGGCGTATTTGGGAGGTGGTTCCCTATGTCCTCCTATACTGCAACAGCCAAGTACTGGGAAATCAAACGGTCGCGAGTCAGACTTGAGCACCTATCCAGAAGTGACTGTGTGACTTTCAACAAGTTACTTAAATTCTCAGACCTTAAATTTCCTCTTATGCTAAAGGCAGAGCATAACAATGCCCATCCCGCGGGTGCAGTGAGAAATACGTAAGGCTTCTGGAACAGTGCCCTATTTACAAACACACTTAAGCATCCAAAGTGGAAATGGTGGGGGGAGGTGGGGCGTGCAGGTGGGTGTGCTTTATTTGCTAGAGAGAATTCATGGACGCAGAAATATTAAAAATGGAGGCGGCACAGAGGTGCAAGGTCGGAATGTTCTCAAGACCCTCTTGGCCCCCTGGGCCCTGCTCTCTGGAGCTTCCACAAAAAGGGGCCCGAGAAGAGCACTCAGACACCCTTCCCGAAGACCGGAAGAGCCAAGCGACAGACACGCCTTCCTTCAGGACAACCTATCGCGCGAAGGGCGGGTCCGCCGCGGGGACTTGGGGCTCCCCTCCCGCCGGCGTTTGGGGGCGCCCCAAAGTTCCGGCCACAGCGGGGGATCCGGGGACACCCGTCCGCCGCGCCGCCTGCGGCCGGCAGCCTGCTCAGGGGAATCGGCCGGGGCGACCGCGCAGCTCGGGCCCGGCGCCCCTCGGGGTTTTGTTCAGGCCAGGCGCCAAAGGACACGCTGCTTCTTACCGCGACCGTCGGCCAGGCCCAGGGCCGGAGCAGGGGTCGCAGTGGGGGCGGGAGGGGGTGACGGGGACCCGGACGGGGTGGCCTCCTCCGCTCCGCGCCACATGTTTCTCTTGCCGGGCGGCGGCGTTGTCATGACGACCGCGCGCATGCGCCTGCCTCGCCCGAGCCGCGGGCGTGCCACGTGCGGGTGCGGACCTTCTGCAAGACCCTGAGCGCCGCTTCCAGCTGGCTGCGCGGCCCCCGCCATTACCCGCTTGGGTCGTGAGGCCCGACTGGGCAGGCAGTGACCGCCGATGCTATGGAGGCTCCTTGATCACCATGTCTGGGTCCAGGTCACCCCACCCTGGGTTAAAGACACACTGAGGGAGGGCGCCCCGGCTCCTTTGCAGGGAGAAGTTCTCGAGGTTTAGGGAGCACGGCTGATGGACTAGGGGCCGGGGCTACAAAGACGATTATGACACAGTCCCCTCCCCAAAGTGCGCACAGACCTGCGGGGGCCAAGTGCGGAAGCAGAGCAGCTGCATGGATAGGGTCCTGAGCTAAGGGGGCATAAAGGGCCATGTAGATCGGTCTTGTGGAAGAGCAGGGGCATCAGAGATGGCTTCTTGGAGGAGGTAACATCCTGACTGGTCGAGTGAACCTACCTGGGGGGGGAACTGCTTGGTGCGTGCTGGACGCGCAGGTACTTGGGGCTGCCCAGATGAGGAGGGTTGGGCGGGGCAGCAGGCAGGGCCGGATCCACGTGGAGTCCTGTGCATCCTCTGAGAAGCACAGCTGTTATGGGGCAGGGTGCTGGGAGCTGTCAGGTCTGGGTCAGCTGATGGAGGATGGATTTGACACAACCTAGGGGAGATGAAGTCTCAAGGAGCTGCAGTAGCCCAGGAGAGGCTTCATTGGGAGAATGAGGAGAAGAGGACACAACCCACGATAGTTAGAGGGTAACATAGTCAGGATTTGGTACTTGGACGTGGGAGGGAGAAGACGAGGAAGGAGGGAAGGAAAAGCCTTCTGTCTGGGGTTGCCATCGACCAAGGAGAATGAAGTCGAAGGGCTCTGTAGAGGACTGGAGCCAGCCAGAGACTCCTTGCCTGTGAGAAGGTGAAAGGAAGACCCTCAAGGTGAAACCAGGCCGTTTATGAACACAATTCAAATGGTGAAAAACAAAAACGTCCCAGTCCTCTCTCCCTCATGCTACCCCAAAGGCAATTCCAGACCAGTGCTCCACTGCTAAGAAACTGTTGTCCTGGGCAAGGCAGGGGTCTCTTGAAACCCTGTGTAGGGGCCGGCCGGTGGGGTAGCGGTTAAGTGCGTAACCTCCGCTGCTGGGGACCCAGGTTCGGATCCTCCCAGTCGCACAGGGATGCACTGCTTGGCAAGCCATGCTGTGGTGGCGTTCCATATAAAGTGGAGGAAGATGGGCATGGATGTTAGCCCAGGGCCAGTCTTCCTCAGGAAAAAGAGCAGGATTGGCATGGATGTTAGCTCAGGGCTAATCTTCCTCACAAAAACAAAAAAGAAAGAAAGGAAAAAAGAAACCCTGTGTAGCCCACAGATTTTAAGCATCACTTGAAATAACATTTCTTCAAGTTAAACATGATGATGATAGAAAATAGACAATTATGTGCTCATTTCCCTAACAAAGTTGAGAGGCGGCTTGAAGTACTCAAGTGTGAGTGCAGGTACAATTCAGCATCTGCCCATCCCTATCCCTTCTTTAAAGTATTCTGAGTTAAGAAGGTAGAGGAAAGGAAAGAGGGTTTGAGGGTTAATTAATTGCTGCTCCAGGGGAAGGGAGGGATACTCTTCCAAGGGAGCAAGAAGTGCAGAATCAGACTGTTGTTCTAGAGTGACTAATAAACAGGGTCAGAACAGAATAAACAGAAAAGAACTCCTTTAATCAAACGGGCACCTACAGCACTGTTCTATCTGCCTTAGCAAAACAAAAACAAAAACACAGTATTTACACAGAACTACAGCCTGCAATGTCAAATGCATATCAAATAGGATGATCAAAAAGACACTGACCACATGTATAACTCATTTCCATCAGTACATTTCTCATTATCCCCAATGATTTCCAGACAGAGAAGAATGTAGATTGAAAAAAAACCCTTCCGGCGCCAGCCCAGTGGCGCAAGTGGTTAAGTGCTTGCACTCCGCTGTGGCGGCCCGGGGGTTCGCCGGTTCGGATCCTGGGCCGCACCAACGCACTGCTTGGCAAGCCATTCTGTGGCGGCGTCCCATATAAAGTGGAGGAAGATAGGCATGGATATTAGCCCAGGGCCAGTCTTCCTCAGCAAAAAAAAGAGGAGGATTGCCAGATGTTAGCACAGGTCTGATCGCCTCACAAAAAAAAAAAAAAAAAACCCTCCCCTTGAGAACCACTGATGGGGGGAGGGGGAAAGGGAGAGAAATTTCTCTGGCACTCTGTAGTAGGAAGGTTAGTAGGTGTATCTTTACATAAGTAACTTAATAGGCATGTCTTTAACTATAGCTTTGTAGAAGATCCAGAAATATTTTTCAAATGATTGTTTCTTTATTGTAACTCTACTGAAAAAGCCAACAACATTGCATTTAATTATGACTTAAGGAAGTCATGTCTTGAGGAAACACAGATAATATGATCTAGGTAAGTTGTTTCCCGTTATTATGGAAATAGAACTCAAAGGATCTAGGGGAGTTAATAGTTAACGTATCCATTAGCTATTATCCCAGCTATCAGATGGCTCAACTGAGCTGCTAGCAAATGCCGGAACAGAGGAAATTTCTGGTTGAGCTTTCTCACAAGTATCTGAAGTGCTGACTTCTGGCGCTGTTCATGCATATGTATTGTTTAGGTACTGAATATGCAGATGGCAAAATGATTTGGCCCATGGATAAAAGATGACTAAGTTGTGTGAAAAATTTACATTCTCGTTATCTGATGAGATGAGAAGTTTCATCAGTGATTAGTAGTGGAATAGTGCCAAAACCCTTCTTGCTCATTAGGCAAGATAGTTTGGAAAACCAAATTCCAAAGAGAAAGAAAAGGTTTTGTCTATGAACGACTAGAACTATAGTTTGGTGGTATGGGTGGGGGAATGAAGTGTAGAAACATTTTTGAAAAGGGATAAAATACCACTTTGTGTCTGTTTCAAGGAAACAAGTCCTGAGAAGCTGTTTCAGATCAATAATTTGGCGACGATGGGGATGGGGGCACACTGCTCAGCACAAGCTAACAATTCTGGCTAAAGAATGTTCCTCTAAGGCCCTTTTCACCTTTAGGTGACTGATCAGAGGTTTTCAAAAAGACACAGTTGCTGAATCCCAGCTTGGTAGAACTCTTCCCTCTACAGACCTTTCAGAGCTCAATCTAAGATCATAGATTTTTTTTTTCCTTCTACCATTTCTCATAAGAAGAAAACATATCAAGCATCTCAATATCCCAGTACTAAGTATGATCAGTTTCTACTCACAGAAACTTCTAACACCAAATGTGTGGGTTTTCCACAACAAGCAATTCTTCACCTCCCTCCGGACACCAACTAGGTGTCCTAGAATTTAATTCTGACACTAACTACCCAGAGTTAGCACAGACCCCACAGGTCGAGGGCTCAGTCCCAGAAGACTGCTTCCCACTTCAGATGCCAGTCACAAGTCCCCGATAGTCACCTGTACGTCCACCAATGGGCTATAAATCAGGGGTTCCCACGACCCCCTCCTCAAGGTCAATAATTTGCTTTAATGGTTCACAGAACTCAGGGAAACACTTTACTTACTATAACTGGTTTATTATGGAGGACACAACTCAGGAAGAGCTAAATGGAAGAGATGCATAGGGTAGGGTATGGAGAAGGGGCCAACCACCCTCCCAGCACCTTGATGTGTTTACCAACCCGGAAGCTCTCTAAACCCAGTTGTTTAGGGTTTTTATGGAGGTTCCATTACATAGACATGATTGATTAAATCACTGGCCACTGGTGTTTTAACTCAATCTCCAGCCCCTCTCCCTTCCCTGGAGAAGGGGCCAGGGCTGAAAGTTCCAACACTCTAATCCCGTGGTTGGTTCCTCTGACAACCAGCCCCTATTCTGAAGCTATCAGCAAGAGTTAGTTCATTAGCACAAACTCAGGTATCATTCAAAGGGTGAATGATTATAAATAAATATAATAATTATTATTATATAATAATTATTATAAAAATAGTATATAACATTATTATTATTATAAATAACAAAAGATGCTCCTCTCACTCTTTTCACTCAGAAAATTCCTTCAGGTTTAGAAGCTCCTGTGTCAGGAACATGGGAACAAAGACCAAATATGTTATTTCTTATGATATCATAATATCACACCCAGAATCTGCCTTTATAATTGGCTGAACCACTTAGCTACTCCTCTGCCCCTGCCGAAAATCTAAAGTTGCTTGCTTGTAAAAAGTTTGCCACTCAAGTCCGAAGCTTATATGGGACTTCATCTCACTATTGAGAAGAGACTTATAATTATTTCAAGGGATTTTATAGTTTCCCAGAAATTTTTATCAAAGCAAAGGGTAGTGTTACCATTACATGATTCTCCAGTCCTAGGTCAATTAAGGCAACTTTTAGCTTGTCTGTGTTACAGGGAAAAGAGCTCCCAGGTAAAATTTTAAGCAAAATCTTGAAATTATTTTAACTAGAAATGGTTATTTATGCTATCAGAGAGAGTCACACACCATATTAACCTCAGGACCCTAATCTTATCTAGCCAGTTGTGTGTAATCTGACTTGGAAACAAAAGTGTCAACATTTACATCAATGTAAATTTGAGAGGGTTGATCATTTTCCTAAATGATTTTCTCTGGCATTAAAGCTACACAAAGAAGAGCTAATTACTCAACTACCCAACCCTGGCTCCTTGAAATGACGATGCAATAGTTATTCCACTTAGAAACCCCACAGTAATATTGTAGTGTAATAAGTTAATTTGACCACGTTCAGGTGGCACTTGCTATGAAAAAATAGCCAATAAGGAATCAATCTTCCCCATTCTTATTTACTGTGGCCGAATTACTGGCAAAACTGTTGCAAATCCTGGCTTTACAACCTCCTTTTATTAAGTTTGCTAATAGATATACAATATATATAGCTTTCAGAGGGCCAAATTGGTTCCAGACACGTGTGGGATGTATCATTATATATGTGGGATATATCATTAAGGAGAGAGAATATGTGTACACACACTTTCAGACATTCTAGGTAGGTCTCATCAAGGAGCAAGATGAACGTTTGGAGAAATAAGTTCTTTTATGTGTCTGGAAGCCCAGATGCACTTATGTTAACCCTAATCAGGATGGCTAGTCCACACAAATTTCCCCCACATGACTGTTGGAAGGCTGCAAAAGAAAATCAAGCCTGAAACCTCACACCCAAGAAGAACGATTGTAATAAAAACCAGGCTTCCTGTGAACAAATGATGTTAAAAACCTCGGTGAGGTTAAGTCAGATTCTCCACTCCTCCAGCTTCCTACTATCTTCTGGCCCTTTTGGTATTTAGTTTCTTTATCAGTAAAACAGGGATCATAATGGTACCTCCTTCAGGTTCTTGAGAGGATTAAATAAGTTAATTTAAGTAAAGCCTAGAGAACATAATAAGTGTCTTGGGTGTTCTATTTTTGTTTATATTATCACCTCAATCTAGATACTGTGGATGGTCTAGGAGCCTTCAGCATTGTCAGTAGTTTGTCTTTAGGAAACTGGAGATTTTTATCCTAAAGACTGAACAGGGGGCCAGCCTGGTGGCACGGCAGTTAAGTGGGCGCGCTCAGCTTTGGCGGCCCAGGGTTCGCAGGTTCGGATCCCAGGCACACACCAACGCACTGCTTGTCAAGCCATGCTGTGGCAGCATCCCATATAAAGTAGAGGAAGATGGGCACGGATGTTAGCTCAGAGCCAATCTTCCTCAGCAAAAAGAGGAGGATTGGCTTCAGACGTTAGCTTAGGGCTAATCTTCCTCACACACAAAAAAAAGACTGAACAGTATTAGATTAATTTAATCTGTATGATGACCAAATGACAAAAATGTTGGTGACAGCTAGTTCTAGACATAATTTAATCAATAATCAATCTTTTCCTTTCTTTAAATAACAGAGAGCAACACCGTCGCAGAGCTCTTTTTGAGGCTAGGCATTGAGTAACAAGGATCTGCACCACTGTTGTGCTGCAAGGAGCAGTAATATTAAGTGTGGGGCTGGAAGCACATCCCCTCCATCTAGGGACGGGCCTCTGTGCCAGATCAGAGGCCCAGTATGCCAGCAGAAAAGCCCCCATCCTAGAAGGCAAGTCAAAGATGCTACGATCAACCTGGCCATCATCGCGTCATAGTCTTCTCTGCCTTCCCCCTTAGGCTTTGGGTGTATGTGTATGTGTATGTGTGTATTAATAACCAAGGACGTAGTCTTCTGTAATACAATATTAACATCTTAGATTTATAAGACTTATAAATCTAGTAGTGTAAATCTCCCAATTTTTTTCTTATTATTCAAGATTGTCTTTTGCAATTCTAGGTCCTTTGCATTTTCATATAAATTTTAGAATCAGCTTATTAACTTCTACCAAAAAGGAAAAAAAAAAGTTTGCTGAGATTTTCATTGGGATTGCATTGAAACAATAGATCAGTTTGGAGAGTACTGACATCATTTTGTTGAATGTTCTAATCCTGGACATGATTTATCTTTCCATTTAATTTCTTTCTGGGTTGCAGCTTTAGTTCATTTTGATTAACTGCAATTTCAAAGGTTCTGCTTAGGGATCTAAGACTATGAGAGGACAGGATCTCTCTTCTAGTCCAGCCTGCAACTTTCCCTAAGGCGGCTGAGTCAACCCCAGTCTTAGTGCTGAGAACTGACTCTGCATTTGAGGCTCCTCCAGATTCTAATCCACCATGCTCGCCCACACATGGCCATTACAAATTTGGCTGGGTTCTCCTTATCCCAGAAGTTTCTTTGCCTATGCTTGTGGAAGGCTTGCTTCTCTAGCTGCCAGTCCCCAAACTTGAAAATGCCACCAGGCGTGAAAGTGCCCACTGGTCTCTACTTGTTTAGGAAGGGCTAGTCCATCTCTGGAACTTAATTCTTTTGGCCTTTGCATCTGCAACTCTCTGGTGGCTTTAAGGAAAAATACAGTATTTTAAAATATTATTTTTCCTAGTGTTTTCTCAGTGTTTACGGTAAGAGCAATGATCTTTCGCAAGCTTCTACATCTTACCTGGAAATAGAATCAAGGCATTTTTAAAAGCTGAAAATAGATAATTTTTTTTCTTGAGTCAACCTTTTAAGAGAAAGAGGAATCTACACTTTAATTCTTCTCCCAACACGAAACACAAAAACTACATTTTATGTTGTATCATGATGTCAAGCAGTAAATTTAATCAACTAAATTTTAATTTTTTTCTCTTAAGGATACCAAGTCTGGTGGCAGGTAAACTCTAATTTTCTTTTCTTTCTTTTCACAGTCCGTGTTTCAGATTTTGAATCTTTGAACTTGCCATCAAAATAATGGCAAATAACATCATAAAATCAGTAGAACATTCATCTAAAATTCATCAGAAAAGTGATCCACAACAGGTCTCTGATAGAACATTTTTCATCGATGCTTCGAATCAGCGCTTGGTTACCATCCCCTCAGAGATCTTAGAATTAAAAGAATTAGAAGAAGTGCATCTGGAAAACAACCAGATGGAAGAAATCCCCGAGGATATTCAGCATTTAAAGAATCTCAGGATCCTCTACCTGAACAAGAACAAGCTGAGGGAGCTGTGCCCCGAGCTGGGGAAGCTGAGCAACCTGGAGGGCCTGGACCTGAGCGACAACCCCCTGCTGTCCTCCTCCCTCCCGGTCCTCAGCGGCATCCGCACGCTGCGCGAGCTCCGCCTCTACCGCACTCACCTAGAGGCGTTCCCCATCGTCATATTGAAACTCCTTCACCACCTCGAGCTGCTCGGACTGGCCGGAAACCGCCTGAAATCTCTGCCCAAAGAAATAGTGAACCAGAACAAACTCAGGGAGATCTACCTGAAGCAAAACCAATTTGAAGTTTTCCCTCCGGAGCTGTGTGTTCTCTCCAACCTGGAGATCATTGACCTGGATGAGAACAAACTAAGTGCCATCCCAGAAGAGATCGGGAACCTGGCGAGTCTGCAGAAGTTCTACGTGGCTTATAACAGCCTTCCCTTCCTACCCGAGTCGCTGGGCCAGTGCAGAAAACTGTCGGTGCTGGATTTATCCCACAACCGGCTCCACTCCATCCCGCGCACCCTCGCCCAGCTTTCGGAGATGACGGAGGTGGCGCTGAGCGGGAACCCCCTGGAGAAGGTGGCGCGCCTGCTCTGCAGGTGGCCCTCGCTGCACCTGCTGTACCTGAGCAACACCGGCCTGCGCGCGCTGCGGCGCTCCTTCCGGAGGCTCGTCAACCTGCGCTGCCTGGATCTCAGCCAGAACCATCTGGAACACTGTCCGTTGCAGATCTGTTCGCTGAAGAACCTGGAAATCCTGGCACTGGATGATAATAAAATATGGCAGGTACTGATTCCCTTCCTGGCTATGTCATTGTGCTCTCACGGGCTTTTTAGGCTCTAAGTTGGTGTGGTTCTGTGTCTCAACATGGGCAAATTCGAACTGACTTTATGGGGGAAGGTCCAGGTTTAACAAGTATATCCAACAAGGTGATCACTTATATTACTTTTTTTCTCCCTAAATAACAATAGGAATCATAAATAGTAGCTAATATTTATTTGCAGTATGTATGTGCTGGTCACAGGGCTGTGTTTTACATGGATTATCTCATTGAATCCTGATGGTGCTCAGGGCAAGCTACCCCAGGAGGCACCACTCTGGTATGCGGATTATTTCGA